TCAAGGAATGCTAAACCTTTAGTTTTTGAAATGTTAGGATGTCCCATTGTGAACTTTTGATGCCAAATTGTGTCTTTTAAATTTACAACAAAAAAAAATATCCAGTTCTGCACAGCACTACAGGACTGTGATGCTGTTTTTCCAGCACTTCAGTAGTTTTTATAGCCCTTAATAATCATCTCACAAGCAGTTCTCTCTTAATTGTGTGAATATTTATGAAGCATTCACACTATTGTGATCCATTTTTCTACTGTACGTTTTTCGGCACCATTCTCATCCCGCTATTTTTGTGCTATTTCAACAAATCATAAATCAAAACGTTCAGTTCTTTCAGGACAATCCTGTTTTGACTTTTGGTATTGGTGCAACTTTAGCTTTTTTGAAATATTTAGCCTTTTCTGCATTTTTTTCTCATAGGAAATGAACTGAGCTCATTTTACATCCTTCAAATCTTTAGATCTGTTTACAACCTTTTACTGCTCCTTTCACATTTTGTTCTGGTTCAGCTTCTTTCAACTTCCTTGTGCAAACTGAAAGAGTTCTTCAGCTAATTTCAAATGTTTTTTCAGCCATTTTGTGCTCCTTTCAGGATCTTTCAGCAAAATTCAACTTTTTTTTGCTTCTTCTAACTTCTTTCTGCTAATTTCAGCTCATGTGCCTTTCAGCTTTTTTCTGCTAGTTTCAGCTTTTTCTGCCATTTCAGACACTTTTTAGCTTTTTGTGCTAAATTGAGCTTCTTCAGCTAATTCCACATTTTTCGCTCATTTCAGCTCGTTCCACTTCTGCTAATTTAAGCTTCTTTCTGTTTTGTCAGCTACTTTTCAGCTATTCTTTGCTAATTTCCACTTTTTTAGCTACTTTCCTAATTTTTGTACTAATTTCTGCTAATTTAGACCCAATTCAGCAAATATGTGTTCTTTCTGCTTTCTTCTGCTAACTTAGGCTTGTTCTTCCCTTTTCAGCTAAAGTTCAGCATGTTTTTAGCTAATTTCAGCTGTTTTGCAGCAAGTTCTTCAGCAATAAGCATTCACACTGCATTTTGGCATGAAATGCAAATTATCTAGTTTCAGCTTGTTATGCTCCTTTCAGCTTATTTCTACAAGTTTCAGCTTTTTCTGCTAATTCATATTCTATTTGACTTTTTAAGCAATTTTTAGCCTTTTCTGCTAATTCTAAATTTTTTCACTCATTTCAGCTGTTTTTTTTAGCAAGTTCTTCAGCAAGAAGTATTCACATTGCATTTTCTCTACTTACCATACCATTTTATTTATAGAGCACTTAAAACAGCGACAAGGCCAACCAAAGTGCTGTACAGACAGAACAACAGGTAACACACAAAGCAAAATACAAAATGAAGTAAATCAGAATATAGACATAAAAACGATGCAGATAATGACGACTAACCAGTGTAGAGCATACAGGTTCAAAACACAGATCATCTGGTGTGAAAGCCACCAAATTGTAGTGGGTTTTTAAACAGGACTTGAAAACCGAGAGGGAGGGGGCCTGTCTGACAAGCAGCGGTAACTCGTTCCAAAGTCTTGGTCCTGCTACAGAGAAGGCCCTGTCCCCTCTGCGCTTAAGACGAGTTCCTGGAACTGTGAGGAGCAACTGGTTCGCTGACCTCAGGGAACGTGGTGGGACATACGGTTGTAGCAGATCAGAGAGATGGGGGTGGGGGGCAAAACTGTTCAGTGATTTGTAGACAAACAGGAGTATTTTGAACTGGATTCGAAGGTGAACCGGTAGCCAGTGCAGTGAGGCCAAAACTGGTGTAATGTGCTCTCTTTTGCCTCTTACTTGTTTTGTTCTCTTGAGCTCCACTGGTCTTGGTAAAAAGTGCAATATTAGCTAGCTAACAAAATTTGATAAAGTTTCTCCTGCTTGAGGAACATTTGTTTTCTTGTCAGAAGGCTAAATGTATGTTTAGAGCAGCCTGTGGCCTCTTAATGGTGTGCAGAGCATTCATTCAACCTTTATTTATACAGGTTAGTCTCATTGAGCCTCGAGGACTCGTTTACAAGAGAGACCTGTTTTAAACCAAGAACAGAAGAGGTACAAACAATAATAGACAGTCATATAAAAAGCATATAAAATCAAAAGGAAATGAAATGCAAACAAAACAAAAAACGGCAAACAACAAGATAAAAGCAACTACATTATAAAGCGGTGTAAAATACTAAAAACAGGAACATGTATGTGCTGGTTTTTGCCATGAACTTAGCTGTTGTTTAAAATTCCTTGAGAGGTCAAGGTCGAGAGCTTCAGGCCTTTTTGCAAAGTATTCCAGGAAACAGGAGCGGAGTAGGAGAAGAACCTTTGCCTAGTTCCGTCCACACTGAGGGAACACTGCGTGTAATAATGTCCTGAGAGTGTGCGCTGTAGCTGCATTCCCGGAGTGACATTTAAGAGGAGATATATGAAGGCAAGAAGTGATTTAAAGATGAAAATGTACCAGTGAGAGAGTCTGCGTGAAGTTAATGATGTCCAGTTAACTAGTGAATACAGGGTGCAGTGGTGGGTACGGTAGTTACAGTCAGTTATGAATCTTAGCGCACCATGATAGACAGCATCCTACATCTGCAGGGTGCTTGTAGGAGCGTTCATGTAAATAATGTCGCCGTAGTCAGTGGAGGGAAGGAAAGTCACAGTTAGAAGGCGTTTCCTAGCATTCAGAGTTAGACAGGATCTATTTCTGGAAAAGAAACCCAGTTTTACTTTCAGTTTCTTCACCAAGTTTTCGACATGAGGCGAAGAGAGATGCAAATCGACCAAAATACCCGTTTATTAGAATCGACAAACTCAATAGGGACACCATTCAAAAACAAAATAGAAGGAAGGAGTGCTCGTACCAACTTCCTGTTTATAAACAACATCTCTTTGGTTTAATTCGCATTCAACACAAGTTTGAGATGGAACCAATCTGACTGGATGATGTCGAATGCAGACTGAAAAGACGGAAAACCGTAGCAACTGATTTAGCTCGACAATAAACAACTGTGTCGTCGGCATAGAAATGTAAGGATGCATCTGGGATGATCTGACCTACATTACCTATGTAGATTGTAAAGAGGGTGGGTCCTAAGACTGAACCTTGTGGTACACCGTTGTTAACAGTTAGATAACTGGAAGAAATATCATTATGTTGAACACATATCTGAGAGATAATTAGAGAACCAATGGTGTGTTCTGAGAAACCAATTTCTGAGAGCTTATGACACAAGATGTCATGGTCCACCGTGTCAAAAGCTTTAGCCTGGTTTAAGAAAAGTGCAGCACAATAATCCTTAGCATCCAATGCTTCAACAACGTCATTAAACCTTCAGCAAAGCAGTCGTTGTGCTGTGTTGTTTCCTGAAACCAGATTTGAAGGAGAGGTAAGATTCATAAAAGGTTCTTATTTACAGGAGCTATCCTTTCTGAACGCGAATAGACTGAGTCAAGCTGATTACGGTGGCGGTGAAGGTTATCTGAGCGCTAAAATCTGTCGGGGTTTCAAAAACCTCTGTGTGCATTTCACTTACGCAAAAAATAGCAAACTGCAAAAAAATAAATAAATACAAGATAACTGAAAAGTATGCTTCAACCTTACTTGTGTTGCCTGCACCGTAGCACGCGCCGGTCGTTTTGTCACAGAAGAAAAGTGTTAAGAAATGTATTGATTGAAGAAGCGTCCATGTTACTGAATATGAATGTATAAATTCACCCTCATGGTTTGAATCGCTGCAAAGCATATGGGAAGAAGGATGACTCACTTCACACCCTTCAATATTACCGAGCTGTGAAACTAACCCAATAAAAAGTGAATAAATAAGACAGAAAACAGATGCATTTAACGTGATTTAATGGTAAGATTCATAAACTAACTGCGAAGCAAAAGCTTCTTTCAGACAGTTGTCAATAATCCCGGTCAGCCCACATCTGTGTAGATTTCCATTTTTTTTTTCCCTCAAACATTTAATTTGATATTTCCCTGCACAAAAATGATAAATAAAATATAATAAACCCACAGATGGATCAGTGCGTGCACACTGATCCAGGCATCCAGATGCCTGATCCCACTCAATTTCTGTTGCGTCTGATTCAAAACGATAATCATCCTGGAATAAGTAACCGCTCGCAGATAAATCCGTCCGCTCTGCCCACACTTGGGGTCCACCGAGGCTATCTCAGCGTGACTTTCCTATGATGAAACGGCAAGCGAGCGGCGCGAGGCTGAGGGAGTGGGCGATCAGGACGCAAACTGTTTTCCTCAACAAACAGCAGGATGAGATGAGGGAGCTGGCAGCGATGTGGCATCCGTACCTCGAAGCACAGCTGACCCAGCATGCCTCTCTCCGTTGCTTTGCAAACTCATTTGAAATAAGACAAAACAGCAAAATCAATGGACTCGGATGGATACGAGCGAGCCCATCTGCATAAAATCAGCAGAAGTTTTTGGTGGCGCTTACTTTTCCCCAACAGTGATTACTCTTAGTGAGAATAGGATTGTTTGATGAAGGTGATGATGCTGATGGAGCAGGCCGACATCATTAGCCCCCATCATCACACTTCATCAGAGGAGAGGAAGTGTGACCGCTCTGTTGCAGCATAATGAGCTGCAGGTATGAACAAAAGCAGATGGCTTTATGAGTCAGACAACGGGGCGTTAATGATTAATTATATATCATATTTCCATAAGACTGCTGTTTAATGGAAATGTATCCACCCCATTATGCAGAAATGTTCAACATATTATCTATAATTTTTACAGATGTAAACTGGCTGAACTGGATGGATTTTGTGAAATAGCATTTATGTTAAGAAAACTTCAAAGTTAAAGAAAGTGGTCAAACGCAGCAGATGTCAATCATCCGGACAATGCATGCAGCGTGAGAAACTTATTTGAAACTCACAATAATAATAATAATAATAGTAATGGTGCTTCTGAAGCATTTAGAATATTAGTTTTACTGCACACAGGTGGATGTCCTCCACCTCACAGCAGGTGCAACACTCACCCCCAGCTTCTTGCTCCTTATCCTCACGTACCCCTGCTTCACTATGTCGTTGAAGTTGGAAGCCATGGTGGTGGAGGGGAGCCGGGGGAAAGCTTCCTATCCGAGAGAAGGAGAAAGACGTTCAGTATTGTCGTTTTCTGTGGCGAAAGCTTTCACTGGAAGGCTGGTAAGGTCCAACAGGAGGGAGAGGAGCCCGCTCCGGTGTCAGCCGCAGCGCCGGGGCTGGCGGTGCGGAGCGGTTCATCCGGGAGAGGAGGGAGATACCATTCGGCTTCTGATGCGCCTCAGCCGGGGAGGAGGCGAGCAGAGGCGCGCTTCCCGGACCACACCATCCCCCGGAGGAGAGAGGGGGGTGGGGATGTCGGAACACAAGTCTTTTTCTTTTTACTTTAGAAGCAATCTAAAAAATAAAAAATAAAGGTTTATTTTTTTCTACTTTTTTTTATAGCTTTTTTATTCCAAAAGCATTGACTTTGCTGGAGTGAGAAGCAGTGGCATCACTAAGGGAGGGCTCAGGGAGGCCAGTGCCCCACCTTTAAATTTATTGTCCCACCTCAGGTAGTTTTTTTTATTTTTTATGACGGAGTACGAAAAATAAAAATTCTATTACGAGAAAAAAAGTAATAAAATTAAAAGAATAAAGTCGTAATATTACGAGAATAAAGAATTCAAGGTTCTTTTTTTGTCGTACGCTCCACATGTGGTGGAACGATATTGTGTACACGGGGTCCCAGTTACATCCAACAAAAGTATAAAATGTAAAAGAAAAACTGTAATAAGATCTAAGATATGAACTAAGAAAAAAGTTAACTAAAAATACGTTAAGCACTAATAAAAACAATATGCCGAAAGTCATAATATTATGACAATAAACTCATAATATGTTCTGGGTTAGCTTGCACCTGCTGTGGACAGCCTCCCATGCGAGTCACTGTTTATGAAGTAGTCTGCAATCACTTTTGGGTCACTATTTGTGAAATATGCCTCCATCTACATTATGTGATGACTAAATCTGTCAATGCAACCATTAATTGCAATGCCATACAGCAGGGGTGTCAAACTCACTTACAAAAGGGGGCCAAAATTAAAACCTTTTTCAAACTAAGGGCCAATTGTAGAATCTACATTAACTCGAGTTAGATACTCTACGTCTTTTCTTGGTTGCAGGTTCCTCAACAGGAGTGTGATTGGTCTCAATTTGACATTGCCTGCTGCACTTTTCACATCATAATCAAAGATTACTGGGAAAAAAAAGTGAAAGTACTTTGCGTTTAACATATCTTCTTGGGGGCCAGACAAGATGTCAACAAGGGCCACATTTGGCCCCGGGGCCTTGAGTTTGACACAAGTGCCATACAGCTTCATTTTATCATAAGAATATGCCACAGTGCATTGGGCCCCCTGTTATTGTGCTGCCGATGTCAGCATTCATCATTTTACTGCAGTTGCATGACTGCTTTTTTGTATCGGAGTTCTGATAATATTATGACTTTATTCTGGTAATATTATGAGTTTGTTCTCATAATATTACGACTTATACTCGTATTGTTTCTATTTTATTCTCGTAATGCAGTATTTTGATATTATTCTCGTGTGATTTTATTATCGTAATACTACAACTTTATTCTCGTAATATTATGACTTTATTCTCGTACGTAATTATTATTTTTTTTTTTGTAGCGTGGCCCTAATACTCTGTCTTAGTTTTTATTGCATAATTTTGTGTTCACAAAATATCTCGGGAACTGGAGGGAATTTTTTTTTCTTTCATTCACTCTTTATGTATACAGGTTAGTCTCTTTGAGCCACAAGGACTCGTTTACAAGAGAGACCTGTTTTAAACAAAGAACACAGATGAGGTACAGACAAACAACAATAGACAGTCATACGAAAAGCATATCAAATGAAAAGTAAATAAAAGAAATAAAAACGAAACAAAAACCGCAATAAACAAAACAAAAACTGTTACATTTTAAAGTGATGTATAATACTATTGTATAGTATACTATACTATACTATACTATACTATACTATACTATACATTATAAAGTGATGTATAATACTATCGTATACTATACTATACTATACTATACTATACTATACTATACTACACTATACATTATAAAGCGGTGTAAAATACTAAAAACAGGAACATGACTGCGTTGTTTTTTGCCGTGAACTTAGCAGTTGTTTAAAATCCCTTAGAGAGGTCAAGGTTGAGAGCTTCAGATCTTTTTGCAAGATGTTCCAGGAAACGGGAGCAGAAGAGAAGGCCCTGTTGTCAAGTTCAGTCCGCACTAAGAGTACACTGCAGGTAATTATGTCCTGAGAGCGCATGCTATAGCTGCACTCACGGAGTGACATAAAGGAGATATGCGACGGCAACAGACCAAGAAGTGATTTAAACTTAAATAAGCTCTAAGAAAGTAATCACTAAAACTGAATGATTTTGTGAACTAAGTCAATTCAAGATGGCCACCAAAGCCAATCATTCTTGGTGAACATGAAAAGGGCTAAAACAGATATGACAGAGTTACAGAGCTACAATCTGACGTGTTAGTTTATGAGAATACTAGTTCTAACAGATCTGTCACTGCGTGAGTGCAGCTACAGCGTGCGCTCTCAGGACATTATTACATGCAGTGTCCCCTCAGTGTGGACTGAACTAGGCAAAAGGGCCTTCTCCTACTCAGCTCCTGTTTCCTGGAATATCTTGCAAAAAGATCTGAAACTCTCGACCTTGACCTCTTTAAGTGGCATCTGCTAAGTTCCTGGGAAAAACCAATGCAGACATGTTCCTGGTTTTAGTTTTCTACATCGCTTTACAATACAGCTGTTTTTGTTTCATTTTTTTTATTTTCTGATATTTTCTGTTTCACACACAACAGTCAAAACGTCCTGTTAGGCCTATTGTTTTAGAACATGCAGCTTTTTATAATAACAGATCAATAAGAGCAAAGTGATGATGTATTATGAGAAAAGTCAGGTAGTTGATGGATTAGTGGAGCCTTTGAAAATTAACTGAACCCGATTTGATAATTAATCATTCCAGCTATTTGAAAGCAGCTTTTTTTTTTACCTGTCTTCACCTTATCAGACATGAAATATTTCAGATTTTCATCATGCTTTGTGCTAATATTAACATTTCAAAAGTTAAGTGAATAGGAGAGTCAATGGTCTGATTATACTGCAAGTCATAAAGTTAAAGATGAAACATAGGAACATGTTAAATTTGTATTTCTTTTTAATTGCCGTCTTTCACAATTTCAAGGATGAAACAAATAGCTACAAATTGGACACTGACTCTAAATTTCAGCACTCCTTTTAGGATTTATCACAGCCTGGAGCACTTTGACGCCACAAAAATGTTTTATTTTTGTTTTTCCTTCCCTCATAGTGAGAGCATTTTCAGACTGCCTTGGTAGTCCAGATTAATAAATGCAGATTAATACATCTATATAGAATGATAATTTTGTTCATTATTCAGCTGTTGCACTTAAAAAGATACATGTTGAGTTTTGGCTTTGCAATTTATTTATTTATTGTTATTGGTTTTATATCTAAAGAATTAGATTAAGCTCTGGTCCCCATTATTCTGACCAACCTTAGGTATATTAAGTTGAAACAACATAATTGCATCAGCATAAAATTGTATAGGCAAATTATTAGTTTTCCCTACCAAGTTTTTGGTGACTTAGCGAGCCATTTAAAAAAAATGTCTCACTTTTAAAAGCTTCTTTTTTTTTTTTTTTTTTACAAAGAAAGTGATAAATCTTTTGTCAGTTCATCGTTTCCTTGGCTACAGAAAGTAGCCCAAGCTTGAATAATTCAGCCTGTTTCTTTCACAAACTAAAAAATTGGAGCCAAGATCTTCCATTTTTATTAATAAAAACTGCAGAACTCAAAATAAATCTCTCTAAAGGTTTTAGGAAATCCACTTAATTAGATATTTAATTGCATTTTCTTCTTTCTTTTGTAGATTTCTTCTATCTCAGAAGCTCCTTTTCATGACTTTAACGCTCCAGGTTGTATGCAGCTATACGATTTAAGAATTTTAATTTAAAAACTTGTCGTTGTTCTGTTATTTTCCCTCTCAACAGTAAGTTTCAAGAAAATACGCAGCTATATAACAGATCCTGTTGTTCAGAATAATGTCTTACTTTTCTTTTGGTTGCTATCTGCCTGAGCATGAATATCATTTCCATATTTTTGCCAGGCAGCGCACTAATAGGGAGCTGCTGCTTGTCAGTGTTCCAGCTCTGTGTTTGGTCATTAGCAGCTGGCCTTGAATTAATGTTGGTTGATATGTTGAATTATAAAACCAGTCGCCCAATTAAAGGATCAACAAAGGGTTGTGAAGCCAATCAGATGGTTCAACACACATAAAAACTTTTTTATTATTATTTAAATACACAGTGCTGTAGTTTGTCATTTATAAAGCAACACAATAAATAGTAAATTTCGATCCATGTCAAATCTGTAATTCTGATGAGATGGGATGAGAAACTTCACTCGGGTTGAAATCCTGTGTGTTTGACAGGAAATGGTTCACGTCTATTGATACTGAGAGATACTTGTATTGTTTGAAGCACAAAAAAGAAAGTGGCTTATGTAACTAACGTAAACGAAAGCAATTTATGATCAAAGAAATAGACTAAATCTTTAAAAGTTAGGTTATATAGAAAGGTCATGAACAATCAATATCTTACCTGTTGTAGATAGCAATTCAAACAAAAGCAATTGGAACAAACTGTGTATCATTTTAACTATACTGACAAGCTAACAGCTAGTCCAAGCCAAAATAAAACCAAAGTGCATCATTGCCATCTTAAAAGATCTTTATTGTTAAAAAAATGTAAACATTATTATAGAGTCACATACAACTTCAGAACACAACAACCTGGTTGTTTACATTCATTTTTATGATTATTTAAAAGCACAAAGTTGCACCATATGTTGAAGCAGCCATTTCTGCAAAAACAACCATAGAATGCAAACTTTATTATAGCTTGAATCTCTGAAATATACATAAAATGGTAAATGGACTGTACTTCTATAGCGCTTTTCTAGATAATGTGCGATGTCACGCTCAGAGTT